GCCCCTTCACAGCCACCACAGCTGCCAAGTGCTTTGCAGGGCTGGTGAACAAGCATTCAGCAGGCAAGGGGGCTGGGGTGGATGCCGTGGGTGTTCACTCACTGCTGGCAGGGAGAATAGCTCAGCCTGTACCTTCTGTGTTCCCAGGGCAGCAGCTGGATGAGATCCTGCAGCTTGCAGTGAACAGGATAGAGCCTGCCCTTGTGGAGGGGCCCCACCGAACACAGGCACTCACCTTGCTGCTCTGGGTAAGGCCTGCCCTGGATGTGTGGGGATGGGGGCTGGGGGGCTGGCCTGGTGCTGACTGTTCTGCCTGCACAGGTGACCAAAGCTCTAGTGCTGCGCTACCACCCCCTGAGCTCCTGTCTGACGGACAAGGTAGGTGGTGGTGGAGTTGGGTCATGTCCGAGAAACCTGCCTGCTCCCCCACGGCTGGCTGGGAAGCCCTAGCAGCAGGGCACTCTGTCTCAGGGCTCTCTCCCTCGCAGCTGTTGGACCTGCTGGGTGACGCAGAGCTGGGCCCTGCCGCGGCTGACGGCTTCTCCCTGCTCATGGCCGAGTCCCCAGACGTGCTGCACAAGGGCTGCCATGCCGATGTGCGCATCATGTTCCGACAGCGTTTCTTCACTGACAACGTCCCCAAGCTGGTGCAGGGTTTCCATGGGGCTGGCCCTGGTGAGCTGCCACCCCCAGCCCAGCCTTGTCATCCCCTGACCCCTTACCCAGGGGACCTGAGCCAGCATCCCCTCCTTCCTGCTTGTAACCATCTCTGCTCTCCACAGATGTGAAGGCCAATTACCTGAAGGGCCTGTCGCATGTGCTCAACCACCTCCCCAAACCTGTGCTGGTGACAGAGCTGCCCACGGTAGGAACCAGCCTTGGTGGGGGCAGGGGGAGGGTTGGTTGTGAGAGGATTGAGTGGATGGATTGAGGTTACTCATGACTCCTGTGTTGTTCCCTCTCTGCAGCTGCTTTCCCTCCTACTTGAGGCCTTGTCCTGCTCAGACCACGTGGTACAGCTCTCCACACTGAGCTGCCTCCAGCCACTGCTGCTCGAAGCTCCCCAGATCATGAGCCTGCATGTCGACACACTGGTCACCAAGTTCCTCAACCTCACCTCCAGCCCCACCATGGTGCGTGCACCCTCTCCTTTCTCCCCACCATGCTCCTCTCCCCCACCCCTCGTGCTGCTCTCACTTCTGTCCATTTCAGGCTGTCCGCATCGCTGCCCTGCGCTGTGCCCACGCGCTCACCCGCCTCCCCACACCAGTGGTAAGTGCTCCAGCAGTGCCCTGCTGCCTGCTCCTGCATATAGAGGAGCAAGGGGGTCCCAAACCTCCTCCTTGGGGGCATCCAGCACCCAGTTCTCTTACTAAGAGCCCCTTCTGTCCTACAGTTGCTCCCATACAAAGCCCGAGTTATCCGGGCACTGGCCAAGCCTTTGGACGACAAGAAGCGGCTGGTGCGGAAGGAGGCAGTGGTAGCACGGGGGGAATGGTGAGTGTGTGTGGAGGAGCTGCTCCGGCCATGCCAGCCTGTTGGGGATGTGGCTCATGGCACTATCTCTGTCCCTGCAGGTTCCTGCTGGGGAGCCCAGGCAGGTGAGCGCCCCGTGTCCCCTCCCTGTGCTGACCACCAATCTGGCCAGTGCCCTGCTGACCCACCAAGCCATCCGACTGATGCTATGGACCCTTGGAGCCCAGTGCTGCTCTAAGGGCCAGGGCTGGAGTGTGGAGGCCAGCAGACAGCACCCCTCACTGCAGCACCTTCCTGGCACCCACAGCAGGGAAGGAGCTGTGCTGCTTGTGGCTTGCCCACCCTCTGCTGCATCTAGGAACTGTGATGGACAGACCCTGCCACATGTGTGGTGAGAGCAGGTCTGTGCACACGTGTGGTATGTGACCCACGTGCCAGAGGAATAAATAGATCTGTTTTGGTAATGCTCCACGTGTCTCTATGCAGTTTGGGCTGCGACTTCAGTACCGTTCCCTGTGTTGAGCAGCTACAGGTACTGCTAGGAGTCCTTTCTCCTCTTTCCACACTGAAGAATCATGACATCCCCAGAAGTCTATGCTCACCGGGAGAAAAAAAAAGCCCCAGACTGTCTTAAAAAAAAAAACCTATTTATTGGATGCTCTTAAAAAGGCTCCCTGGGGAGCACTTGGGGGACAGGGGTGTCATTCTCTGTGCACAGCCCTCCAGAGAGCTGAGCTGGGCCTGCACTGGCCTGTACCTGTGCTAGCGGGAATAGCACCTTCGGCTGAAGCAGGGGGCAGCAGCTCCTCCGCCTTTCATGGGGCTGGCTGCAGCCACTAAGAGCCAAGAGAACGTGTCCAGGCACCAACACTGTCCATAGTTTCCTGTGGCTCTGGTCAGTGATGTGTGCCAGCACCAGCCTTCAGCCAGGCACTTGGGCCCAAGGGAGCCACAGTGGTGGAGCAGGTCCCCTGCCTGCGGGGAGGGACGTCTGGAGCACCAGGCCTCAGATGGCCAGGAGCGGCGCGTGCTGCTCTGTCACGCAGGGAGGGAGGTCCCAGGTCAGGCCTGTCCCATGGGGCAGGTGAGGAGAGGGCAGCAGGACGCGAGTGAGCCAGTGCCTGAAGTGAGAGGAGGGAGGCCACACTCAGTGCTTCTCAGGAGTCAAGCCATGTCCCTGAGCTGCCATGATGGCTGAGGTCCTCAGCTGGGACACTCTTGGCAAAGGGCTGCTGAAGGCCACAGCTTGTCACTGGGCAAAGCTCAGAAACCATGAGGCAGATGTTGCCCATGTCTTCCGTGCCTTACAAAGCATGGGATGCTTGCTGTGCTGCTCTCTCTCAGCTGCCCAAGGAGAGCCCCCATTGACCCCACATCCCTATGAGCTGCCAAGCCCCCACTTTCCTTGGCAGGGGCTTCCCCAGGACTTTACCTTGGCACGTCTACACCCAGGAACACCTTCCAGTTATCCCAGCTGCTGTAACTGTAGGGATTCCTGAAGACCTGCAGGTCGAGGAGAGGCACGTGACATCTGGCTCTGCCCCAGCCAGTCCCCATGCTGTGGCCTGTGCTCACCTTGCCTTTCTTCTGCAGTCTCTGTCTCTCCTTCCTGTTGATGTGCCGCTCGATGCTGGTTTCCCCACGGGTGATGAGGGCAGCATGCCACAGCGTGAGGGCACCCAGGGCCAAAGCAACTGAGCTGGGGATGACAAAGGACAAGCAGGCTAGGCACAGGCATTCCTTCCCTGGT